CGGTGAGTATATGATCGCTGACCTGTTGACTAAGTTGATGAGTGGACAGGTGTACGCAAAGCAAAAGGCACTTTGGGGTCTCCGACTGTTGGTACAAGGGACTGACTTGAAAAAAGCCTCGCTTGCAATGGCGGTCATGATGGTGGCTGCATCTCTGCAAGGGATGGCAACTGGTGGCGAAGAAGTGTCCACGGCTGGATTCTTTTGCTCAGAAGAAGGGGTGTGCAAGGTCGCCAACACGTCTACGGTGATGGTTCTGGCTCAAGGTATTGAAATGGTTGTCAACAATTCAGACCTTGTTGCATATTTGGTGGCAGCAATTATACTCTGGGAACTGGCATGGTGCCTCTTTCGACGGCTGTATAAATGGCTGTGGGTCAAGAAAGCGGTGGTTATTCCTGCGAGTGCCACTTTGTATACAACAGTGGGTGGGAACTGTATGCACGCAAGCAGTGACTGTGATGTTCTGCGATATTCACAGCTCAGAGCTAAGACGCTTTGTAAGCATTGCCTCAAGGATGGCTGGGTGGTGAATGCTGAGTTCCTTGGTGAGGAACGGGCCGTTGGAACGTGAATTTTCCAAGTGCGAGGTGAAGAAATCCTCAATGGTAAAGGATTCAGCCAATGAGCTGAAGGTTCGTCCTGGAAGACGTTAAACCATAATGTGCATTTCAAGCAGCTGGCTGCTGCCTAAATGGCGGTTTTTGGCCAAAGATCTGCACCTCCAATGTGTCCTAGGAAATCCTAGGACAGGGGGAGTGCGGAGCTGCAATTGGTATTGTAGAAAGGAGTTGGTATTGGAAGTTGAAGGGTCAATGAGCCCGGTAATCTTTGGCTCAAGCCATGACCAAAGCGGTCAAAGGTTTCGAAAAAAGTGTGCCCTTGGTTTGGGGTCTTGTTGTTCGGTTGTTGGTTGTTCCAGGGGTATTAAGGGCTTCTGTTGGGGTTGACTGTTTTGTTCCCTGTCCTCCTTCGGTTGCCCCCCGTATAGGGTTTAGGGTTTAGGGTTTAGGGTTTAGGGTTTAGGGTTTAGGGTTTAGGGTTTAGGGTTTAGGGTTTAGGGTTTTTCTATTCCTTATTGAGTTTAAGTACCCTTAAACATGTAAAATGCTACCCCACTGTGACAAAGTATAGGGGCCCCCAAGAGTCACATGGGCGTTTCCCAAAGTAGGGGGTACCCCCCTCTCGACCCCTTTAACAGAATAGAATCCCCCTCAAAGGGAGCCCCAAACAGGGTACCCCTATTTTTCGGAAACCTCCACATAACCAGAAGGATTCTACAAACATGGTTTTTTTTCCAGAATTCCCCCATTTTGGAGCCCTTCTACCCCAGTCGAAGGATCCTTATGTTTATGTGGTTTCTGGCGGACCCTATACTCGAATCGGGTGAATTGCAATGGTCATACCCCGACAAGGATGGTGGAGCACGGAACTTGTCACTTGCGAAGGTTTAGGGGCTACTACCTTTTATCTCCATATCACCCTTGGGATCTAACTACCTATATCTGCATAAGTACATAAAGTGTGATAGGCTATGGGGCACTTAAAATTGAAGGATGCCTCTCCCGTGTCTGGATGCCCCTTGGGACGCCCTTCCCGACCAGCTCGAACTGCACCCGACCTGCGTTCCACGGTGTAAAGCGAATGCATGTTTATACTCGATTGCGTAATCAACAAAGGGTTGAAGTTTGGAGGGTCGCTGGTTTTGGGGCCGAGTAAGGATGACTGGCTCAAACTTCAGAAGCGTTCGCACCTTCAACTTTTCTCCGAAGCTGGGAAAAAAGACTACAGCCGTTTACTGCCGCCTTCGGGTTCAAGTGCCCAGGGTTTAGGGGATCGAGGGGTCCGTTTTTTGTTCGGTTTCTAGGGGGACGTAGTTTTTCATGCAGACCGGAAGTGTCGGTTTCAGGATGTCTCCCGGGTCTGATTTCCCTTTTATTCACAAACCTGGCGACATGGCATGCTCTATACATATGTATATATATATATATCTATCTATCTATCTATCTAAAATTTCAAAGACCCTACCACACACTCAAAGCCGCATGCTGCGCACCAGGTGGGCCAGCGCAAAGACAGGCCCGTCGAAGCCGAACGGTCCGACTGAAGTTCTATCCCTAAGGGTCCATGTACCCATATAGTATGTACTTGGGCCCTAAAGCTACTATAGAAGGACCCCTTTACGTCCCAAGTAAACACTATATACTGAAAAGGTACATGGGACCCTTTGGGTATGGTATGGGCTGGACTACAGCTTTTGTGGCGTAGGGCTTCGACACATTCTGGGATGGAAGCCTAAAGACCGAAAGCCCAAAGCTAGAATATGGGCTGGCGTGTGGGCCCTGTGGGATACTTGGGGAATAATAATTCCTAAGAAACAGCTTAAGTTACAACTGTTGCGAGTCTTCCCAAGTTCAGTATAGGACCGTGGTGGTAGCCTGAGCAGCTGGCATTTCCGCTTTTGGGACCTTACGGGCGCTCTTGCCCAACTCCAATCTTGATACCCACCGTAGTGGGCGCATTGGTTGTTGAGACTTTTAGAGCCCTAAACCTGGAGTTCCCAAACCCTAAACCCTAAACCCTAAACCCTAAACCCTAAACCCTAAACCCTAAACCCTAAACCCTAGACCCAGTCTGAGTTATGGGCATCAGAGTAGACTTGGTGACCTGTGGCGAAGGTACTACCTGCCTCCGGGCATCAGCCGGGGACCGGGGAAGAAGAATCGCTTCTCGTCACAGACTTCAGAGCAAATTCCTGAACCCTCAACCCGCCGTTTAGGGTTTAGGGTTTAGGGTTTAGGGTTTAGGGTTTAGGGTTTAGGGTTTAGGGTTTAGGGTTTAGGGTTTAGGGTTTAGGGTTTAGGGTTTATTGTTTAGGGTTTAGGGTTTAGGGTTTAGGGTTTAGGGTTTAGGGTTTAGGGTTTAGGGTTTAGGGTTTAGGGTTTAGGGTTTAGGGTTTAGGGTTCCGGTACGGAGCTCTGAGGCCCGAAGCCTCAAAGCCCAGGCCTCCAGAGCAATTCGCAGTTTGCTCGGCGTAAATTCAAGAAACTCAGTGCGGTGGAATGGCAGGTCGCTCTGACCACAGTTCTGAGCCCAAAACAGAACGCGATCAACAGCAAAGATTCGAGGGTTCCATGGCATCTTCAAGAGTTTAGGGTCAGGTTGTGAAAGCTCAAGGTTGGAGGGAGGTGCTCAGAACACATCATCGGTTCTGTTGGTCAGTTCATGGAGATATGATCTACGCGCAAGCCAAGGTGTCGACTACTTTGATTCAAAAAAGCTGGTGATCTCGCAACGTGGTGGCATTGGGAATGGGGGGAGCAGACGGGTGGGTTATGTGCTTTTGTTGTGCTAGCTTCTCTTCTCTCGGCTGACTCCGTCTGATTTCGACAGGATAACACACACACACACACACACACACACACCCTCGCCCAGGCATGTGGAACACATGAGGCCAGCCCTCACTGCTGCTGCGTTGCACAGCCTTATTGATCAGAGCTGAGACCTGAATCCGCGCCAGCTCAAAAGGCATGAAAAAGGCTTGAATCACACCAACTTCTGACAGGAAGTCCGGGCGGCGTGGGGCAAGCGCTGCAGTCCGGGAGCTCAGACAAGCCACGTACAAGCTTCGAGGTGTTGAGGGGTTTGGGGCTCGACAAAAGGTTGCACGTCAGCACGAAACAAGGCCCCCCAAGGCCACAAGGCTATGAAAACCCTGAAGTCCTACCCTGATTGCCTTCCAGAACCCCTCTGCAGCACCCTCCGCAGGTTCTGAAGCGGCCCTCGGCTGTCGCAAAGACTGGAAAAAATCAAGCGCCAGGCATTGTTGAGGTCTAAGTTACCCACCGAAAGGCCCCCAACCACAAAGACGTCAACGCCCTCCAACTGAGCCGTGCCTCTAACACGTAATCAACCGCCGCCCAAGCCCCACGCCCTTGACCTTTGTCTATCCTCCCTTACATAAGACCCTGTCAACACGCTCACAGAGGTTAAAAGATCACAGAAGGCTGCCCGTTTAGACCCTCGTGCCCTTGCATGGCTTGGAATGTTTGTTGGGCGCATCTGACCTGAGTTGGCGCTTCCTTTTCGTGTGTGTGGCTTAGCAAGCTGCACATCGGCACCAGGGAATACACAGGAGCTGAGAACTTCCGCGCGCACATCCTGCCATTGCTGGTCTGGCCTGTTGGAAATTAAGTAGGATGCAAACGCCTAAGAGCCCCACATTCCGTCCCCCACAAAAGCTTCGATGTCAGAACATCAGGAAGTCACTCGCACGATGGCCACGACAGCTCGAGCTTCAAACCCACGCGCATATAACCCTGAGCCTTTACATCTACTCCTTGGTCAGGGCCTACCAGTGCTTTGGGGTGGCGTTTGGTTTTCCTGACGCATGAAGCCCCGTAAACCCCCGTAAACCCTATAGCTCCGTCGGCCGCTTGTTGCTGGCGCCATGCACGCGGCTGCAGCGGCTCTGAGGAGCACGCTGTCCAGCTCGAGGACAGTTGTCCGCTAGAGAGCCCAAAGGATCCATAAACCTATTTTGTCTACGTATACTTGGGCCTTAAAGCCAAGTGTATACGACATAGGTTTTGGGGGAGGGGGGGGGGGGACGTTTTATCAAATCAGGCCGACAAACAAACCAGGAAGTTGCAGCCAAAGCATTGATGAAGCTTTGCACAACAGCCAGCCGCAGCAAGCCGGCATCTGCAAACAAAATATGGAATCATCTCCTTTTCCATGCTTGGGAACGGAGACTCGTAGGGATGAAGTCCTGAGCAGTCTGCCAGGATATGTGCGTGCTCTTCGTCCCAGCAACGTAAGCTTCTGATCTCTTCTTGGTCTTGCGCTTGCTGCAGAGCAAGCTCGTGCTTGCCGTGGTTCACAAGGCCACTCTTACCTCCATCCAGGCTTGCCCTTGTCGGAGGCCAAACTCCTGCAATGCCCACATGTGTAATGAGGTCACCCTAGCAGGACTCGTGGACTCGTGCCGACATTGGGCCATGCCAGAATCTGCCAGAATGCTGAGCCAAGAGATCTACAAGCACCCAAGCCTGTCCAGCTGCCTCGTACCCTGAGCCTTAGAACCTCAAAAACTCGCTGAGGACTGGGCGAGCCGAACCTTCCAAGGCCCGACGGAGGAAGCTGGCTGTTTGCTACCTCCTTTTTTTTGAGCTGCCTGACGTTGGGGGTCTCAAAACTTAAATCTGAACTGAAACATCAAAGCCCGAAGAACCACGAAACTGCAGCTTCCTGCGCCGAGCTGTCTCTGTAAGGCCCATGAGAGTCGCCCTGAGAGCCCTCGAGCTCAGAGCCCTAAAGTCTCAACAGTCTTGGGGGTTTGGGTTTAGAGTTTAGGGTTTAGGGTTTGGGGTTTGGGGTGATGCCTTGCAGCTTAAAGCCCGAGCCCGTGACCCGACTTTAGGCGCTTTCTAGTAAGTTCCCATGTGCACTCCTTGGTTGGTGAACCTTCGCCGGCCGCAGGAGCCCTAGAAAGGTTGAGTCGGAAACCACACTCTCCAACCGCGATGTTGCGGCGTTGTTTGGGGGGGCATCTCATTCAGGGTTCGGGGTTAGGGTTTAAGGCATGCGAGGTTTCCGCGAGTCCTCCTCAGCAAACAGCCAGACGCGAGAGAAGAAATGGAAAGAATGGGCGTAACGGTTGTGCCACAGGCAGAAGGGCCGAAAGTTTGCTCCTAGTGTTGTTGAAGGCATAACACGCCCCAGTCCAAAAACTATGAATCCCCAGCCTTGCTTCTTCTACTACTTGCGTAAGAACCCCCCAACAAATTAGAAATTAAGAATAATCCCTATATTTGCCTTACAAGTAAGAATATTCTTTGTTTTTTGGGGGTTCTTAAGCAAATAGTAGTCACCCCCCCCCCCCCAAAACCCCAAGAAGCCCCAGTAAATCCGAGACCCTCCTCAAGAACCCTCAAACCCTCGAAAAGCCTTAAACCCTCGAAAGCTCGGACAAGCCCCCTAGAAGCCTGAACCATCTGAGCCTAAACCCCTAGAATCACCTTACTAAACCCTAAACCCTGAACCCTAAACCCTAAACCCTATAAACCCTATAAACCCTATAAACCCTATAAACCCTCTAAACCCTATAAACCCTATAAACCCTATAAACCCTATAAACCCTATAAACCCTAAACCCTAACCCTAAACCCCTAAAACCCTAAGCCCTTGTATCAGAATTCCGTATGCACCAGTGTCTTTGTTATGGGCCAGGCTCGATCGGGCGAGCCCGAGGTGCCCCTTTCGCGGGAGGCGTGGAGGGGCGGCGGTGGAGAGAGGGTTTTAGGGTTTTTGGGTTTTGGGGTTTTGGGGTTTTAGGGTTTTCGGGTTTTCGGGTTTTCGGGTTTTAGGGTTTTCGGGTTTTAGGGTTTTAGGGTTTTAGGGTTTTAGGGTTTTAGGGTTTTAGGGTTTTAGGGTTTTTGGGTTTTTGGGTTTTTGGGTTTTTGGGTTTTTGGGTTTTTGGGTTTTTGGGTTTTTGGTTTTTGGGTTTTTGGGTTTTTGGGTTTTAGGGTTTTAGGGTTTTAGGGTTTTAGGGTTTTTCAGGGTTTTAGGGTTTTAGGGTTTAGGGTTTAGGGCAGGGGCGTGCCGGAGTTGTTAGGGGCAGCTTTTTGGGCCTTAGGGTCTGGACTTGCGAGGTCAGGTCTCAGAAAGGCCAAGTCAGGGAGTTTTCCTAGCTCAGGGTGCGGGCTCTTCGGGGGATTGGGGAGCTTAGACTCTTGGGTGTTGTAGGTTTAGAGGTTGGGATGTTCCCCCTCATACTAACAGTCCTTAATAGGGATCGTAATAGGGGGTACTCACACCCCTTTTTTAGGACTCTTAGTACAAGGGGGAACATCCCAATTTAGAGGCCTTGAGGCCTGAGGAGTTCCCAAGATGTGCAGCGGCACTATGTGGCACGAGCATGACCAAAGCCCTCGAGCGAGACTCGAGACCCGTCGAATCTCCAGCACCCAAAACGCAAGCCTTAAACCCCTAGACCCGAAACCCTAAACCCTAAACCCTAAACCCTAAACCCTAAACCCTAAATCCTAAACCCTAAACCCTAAACCCTAAACCCTAAACCCTAAACCCTAAACCCGAGACGAGGACCTTGAGCAGCTGGCCGCCCTGCGGCATGCTGCGGCCCTGGCGGAGGCACCCCCCTTTCAGAGTCGTCCCCTCCCTGAACCCCCTCAAAACCTCGGAACATCCAAATGTTTAGGGTTTAGGGTTTAGGGTTTACGGTTTAGGGTTTAGGGTTTAGGGTGCCCATTTAAAGCGCTTCGGAGGGCACCTGGCTTGGGAGAGACTTGGAGAGTCAGGCCGAATTTTAGGGGGTCTTCTGCTTGGCGAAGCTGCTTCAGCATCCAAAGGCCGCCAAGGCACATATTCTCGGAGATGCTTGGGAATATCTTTTCCTTAGTTCAGATATAAATCCTAAGACACAGCCAAAAACACAATTGTTGCTTGGGAATATCTTTTCCTTAATTTGGATACTAACACTCCTAAAACACATCTTAAAACACAGTTGTTGCTAGGGTTCCAAGTTCAGGAAAGTCATGTGGCGCCGCAATTTCTGGGGGTGATTGGGTGATGGGAGTCCGCCCGATTGTTGCTCCGCAGCGTCCGGGAGCTTCTTTCATGTTCTTGGGAGAATCTTAGGGGTTGCTGAACTGGCACCTAAAACCTAAACCCTAAGCCCTAAACCCGAAACCCTAAACCCTAAACTAAAGCTACAAAGGCTAGTCTCTAATTTTAGAAGTATTGGTCTCAACTTCATGATATGCAAGCCTGCGACTCACATTTAGTTTAGGGTTTAGGGATCAGGGTTTAGGGTTTAGGGTTTAGGCTTGAAGAATAATGCCACACGGAGCAACTCCCCCCTACCCCCCTGCGCTATTGAGCCAAACTCACAACCGTTGAGCCGTTGATGCGTTGAACCCCATGCAAGTCCTTGAGCCCCCAAACAGTTCTCGAAGAAGATGGTTTGAACCCCCTAGGGCCTCGCCGACTTCGCAACAACCTTTGTGCGTTGCCTGAGCCACTGGACGGCACTGAAAGAGCTGGTCTTCCGAGTTGGGTTTGTTTTTATCCCTAAACCCTAAACCCTAAACCCTAAACCCTAAACCCTAAACCCTAAACCCTAAACCCTAAACCCTAAACCCTAAACCCTAAACCCTACATGTTGGTGTGTGGGGGGTTGTGACCAGGAGTCGCTGGGCGGGCCTTGTGCCAGGACCATGAAGTTCTTGACTGGGGAAGACAGTAGCTGCTGCAAGCGCGCCCTACTCGGCGCGAGATGTGTTTGCCTTTGAGCCGTTTTGAAACACTCCGAGCATAGACCGACAGGGCAGCTCTTCTCCAACCCGACAGGGCATTCCTGTTTGCTGTGTTTGGGCGGGGGCGGGATGGCTTTGGTGGATGTTTTGGGCTTCATTCCCGGCCTTAGAGTTAAGGCCTGCAGGTGTTAAAGGGGGGGGGGGGGGGGGGGGGGTTGGTAGGGTTCTTTGGGAATTTTGATGATTTTGGGATGGACGGCCTTAAGAATCTTGTGCTGTAGTGAACACTGCAGACTCGCAAAGCAGTTCCTTCCCGCCATTCAGGCAGTCACTGCGATTTGGTGGATCAGCTACTTTCGGTGGCTGCGCCGCATGTTTTTGCAAAGCAGCTCTGGCTCTAATAAGACCCCACGCACCTCGAGCGCAAGCTTCATGGCTGGGCCCGAGCCATGCCAGCTATGCCTTAGAATTCAATCAAGCCTTCACCCCAAGCCATAAATCTTAAGCCTTGCCCCGAACCCCTATATCCATCTACCATCATCTGCTACCCTGTTCACTTTTGGTTCGCGTAAACGTCTCGAACAGCTGCTGGCCCTTAAATTAAGTCCCTTTCCTGAGTTGCTGGTGGGTCCCTCCTCGTCTTCCCGCAACAGGGACTTGCCGTGTAATTGCCCATACTGTATGACTGTCCGAGAGCCCTCTCAGCAGCCTCAAGGCTCTCGAGCGCAGAACAGTTGAAGACATCCTTTGCACTGATCACAGCTTCAACTCAAACTGCAGCAGATGACGATATGCAGGTAGTGCATTCCATCGACCCCGAGTGGTTTGGGGAGGACAGGGCTGAGACAGGGCTAGGTCAGGCGCCCTGCACTTCAGGGTGGCCCATTGTGCGCAGACCTTGGGGTTTCAGGCTTCCGGGATAGAAGCTTAGGATCTAGGGTTTAGGGTTTAGGGTTTAGAGTGAGCCGAAGCACTGCATGCAACCCCCATCTCCCAGCATGAAACTCCAACGGGACCATGATTTGTACCATACCGTGGGCCCTTAGCAGCCAAAAAGCACCAAAGGAGTTCCACTAGTGTACACCAAGAGAGGTTGCAGTCTACCGGAAATGTACTATACAGTTCAGGCTGCTTCACGTGCAGACCCCAAGGGCCACGACCCTAAACCCTGATGCCTGGTTTATTTCTGTCTGAAAAAGCCCTGAAGCCCTTATTAAGCCAAGACCCCTGAAACCCTCAACCCTTATGCCCGTCCCCTGAAGCCTTATAAACCCTTAGAGCCTGAAACTCTGAAACCGATTCCCAAAGAGCCCAATATCCCTTAATTAGGGAAGCTTGCTTAACTTATATAGGGATCCTTAATATGGTTTAAGGTGTATTCCTTAGTTAAGGGGTATTGGGCTCTTTGGGTTCTTCTCTCCCCGAAGCCGGCCATGCAGGACATGGCCCAAAGGGAGGCCCAGCACCAGGTCTGGGCGCTGGCCACGGGCGTCAAGGCGAGGCTTGTGGTACTCAAAGTATGGCCCACTTCTGGGAGACTCCTAAACACTAAGCCCTAAACCCTAGACCCTAAACCCTAAACCCTAAACCATAAACCCTTGAGCCAGCGCCCAGAAACTCCCCAAAAATCCGCCTCCCAAGCACACCCTTGAGAGTCGACGCAAAGCTGCAGGCAACAGCTCCACGTGTGGCCACGGTGGCTGCTTGGGCTCTATAGACTTGATGGTAGCCCAGTGGTACCCAGGGTTTAAGGGTTTAAGGGTTTAAGGGTGTAAGGGTTCAAGGGTTCAAGGGTTCAAAGGTTTACGGGTTTAGGGGTTTAGGAGTTTAGGGGTTTAGGGGTTTAGGGCTTTAGGGGTTTCGGGGTTTCGGGGTTTAGGGGTTTAGGGGATTAGGGGTCTAGGGGATTAGGGGTCTAGGGGTTTAGGGTTTAGACTTCGGGGTTGAGGGGAGGTTCCTGTCCGCTAGACCACTAGTCACAAGGAGCTCACTGAACCCTTTGACTTTCTGAGCTCAACCGCTTCACCGCCCTCATCCGCAAGCCGCCTCGCAACCTCAGCAAAGATCGCCAGCTCAAGCGCTGGCAGCAACCAGCAGGCGCACCCACACCACACACTGAAGCTACTAGGCCAACTGTAGACGCTGATGAAATCTTATCCCGAACCCCGGTTAAACTGACGGGGACCTCAATCACGCAAGCCAAAGCAACATGAAGAAGAAGAAGAAGAAGAAGCAGAAGAAGCAGAAGAAGAAAAAGAAGACGAAGAAGAAGAAGAAGAAGAAAACCCAAACCTGGCTGATCCCCTCCCTCAAGGCAAGCCCTGGAAATCTCTGAATTTGCGGGGGCAACTCGAACCCTCAAAGTGTTCAAGTGGCTTCGCACCACAAAACTGTCCGGAGAGGGGGGCAGCTTATTCTCAGATCTAGACACCCCGACTTGCCCGTTGGGGAACCACAACAACCGTCAGTCCGAGCCCTAAACCCTAAACCCTAAACCCCAAACCCTAAACCCTATTTGGGCCCAACTCAGACGCGCTGAAAGGTGCGGCGGCTGCTCCAGGACCTCAAGGGTCTACGCGGCGCTGCCACCCAGGCCTCTTTGCGAGCTACGGGGCCGAAGCTTGACACCATGAGCTCTTACGAGATTTGGTTTAGGCTTTTAGGGTCTAGGGTTTAGGCTTTTGGGTTTAGGGTTTTGGGTTTTGGGTTTTGAGATTAGGGTTTAGGGTTCATGAGTTCTTGCGAGATTTGGTTTAGGGCTAAGGGTTCGGGGTCTACAGGGCTTGGGGCTTAGGGTTTAGGGCCTATGTGCTGCTGTCGTCTGGAATGACACTGCTTGCATGGTAAGGGTTGCGGGTTTCCGGCTCATAGGGATGCAGGGCTTATAGCGTTTAGGGCTTTATAGGTTTTAGGCTTCGTGGGGCTAGGGGGGGGGGGGGGGGGGGGGGGGGGGGGAGTGGCGCTTATGGAGTTTAGGGAAGCGTTAAATCCGAATGCCTAGGTTTCCCAACTTTTAGCGCCCTTGCCTTGACGCTCAAGACACCTGTCAGCCGAGAGTCTGATTTGCAGGTGGAGAGGTCCTTCGAGCGAAAGCGGGGCGCGCTGCAGGACGCAGTATAAGCAGCGGGCAGAGTTGCGTCTCTGTGAATTTTCTGAGAAACCATCCTGCGAATCAGAAAGTATGAATCAGCAAGCAATTAGAAGAAGGAAGTCTGAAGCTGCGCATCAGAAGCCGCACAACAGGGGCAGGGGGGGGAACGGTGGGGGGTAATCGGGCCAAATCCAGAGCATCTGAAACCCTCCCAAATCCCGATTTCCGCATCAGCCGTTTCCTGGTTCCCAATTCAGCTGTCGCCTGGTTTTCCGATTCAGTCGTTCTGGTGTCCGATGCAGGCCTCGTTTTCGATTTTCCCGTGTCTGGTTTCCGATTGTGCTCTGATTGCCGATTGTTCTGGTTTTCGATTCAGCCCTTCTGGTTCCCGATTTGTCCATCGTCACTAGTTTTTTTGCTTCGCTTCTACTACGGAAGAGAGGCCGGCGATATACCAAAGAGATCGTACTCAGAGCGGGTGCGCCTGTGATTGTCACACCTGCGATGTGGAAAGTATTGTTTCCTGAGGCGCTGCGCAGTCCAAGGTTAAACGATCAGCGTCTAGCATGGCAGTCGCAGAACGCTACTTCCCGGATCTCATCCTCTGAGGCCCTAGGAAGCCCCTTCACCTTTCGAGCCGGAAGCCTTATGGGCCCAAGAGGCCCCGGAATCCGAGCGAAAAGGTGGAAAAGGTGGTCAACATCCCGGCACCAAAGCCCTCATTGTCCCTGCAGCAGTCCGGGGTCCCCCTGCTTTCTCAGTTTGGGGCTTCAGAATTCTGATGCGGAAGGAGCGAAACCACTACTTGCAGAAGGTGGAAAGCTTGAGGACCGCATTTTGTTTGTCAGTGTTTAGCGTTACGGGGGGGGAGTGGGACTGGGTTCTCCAACTCCTCAGGCCAAGGGAGGTTAGGTGTGTGGATTCGCTCCTTGCCTTCGGGGCCAAAGATGCTCAAGCTTACCCCCACAGCTTTGCCTCCTTTCACAGGGCCGAGTTTCAGCGCGACGCCCAGGGGCGCGGCTTCTCCAAGGCGATTTTGGGCTCTGACGTGGGGCCTTGGTTTGGAGTTTAGCCGGCGTTTCGCCTCAAAACCCCATAAATGCCACAACACCGAGGGTTGAGTCTTCGGGTGGGGGGCTTGTCCTCGGCTCATTCATCGTTGATTGGTCACATGCGCACACGCACATATCAACATGCTCCATTTAAGTGTTGCATGCTCTCGTCTTTGCTTCAGCAAGAATTCGATGAATGACAGGAGGCAGTTTGCAAGTGTGTCCGTAGCGGGTGGGGCGGGGGGGGGGCGAGGGGGGCGTCGTAATCCCCAAACCCCTATCCCTAACTCCCTAAGCCGGAAGTTTGGGGGGGGGGGGGGGGGGGGGGGGGTCGTTAAAGACAACGATGCATCTTTGGTTGTCATGGGAAGAAGGGGGATGAGAGTGTTCGTGAGTAAAAAGCACGACTCGAATGCCAGACCTATGGAGAAGCGCCGACGGTCACCTCTAAGCATAGTAATATTCATAATAATCACAAGAATTATGCAGTGTAACATGTATCATGTTATGTTGATTGTTTGACTGGGGCAGAGGTGGGGTCGGGATGGTACTACACCAAAAAGCGACTACAGTGTTTAACCCACATAGGGTTGAGTGATGTTTTGGGCTAGGGTTTAGGAGCGCCACACACAAAGTGTCTTGAAGCCCGGCTGAACAAGGTGGAGAGTCAGTGGAGAGGTCCGTCAGCTGCCAGCTATCTTGAAAGGGAAAGTTCGATAGGAACCATTGGCCAAACCAGCTCGGAAAGGTAATGACTATCTTCGGAACCATTCGTCACCCCCCCCCATTCATTGAAATACCCTCCAGGCATTGGAGGGATCAAACGTGGGTCCTCCGTCGCGGCCAGGAGCAGCTTCACCGGCTGTCGCGGAACCAGGTGGATCTGCCTTAACAGCCTTAAGTTGCCTCATGACCAACACTTCGGTATCTTGCTTCCTCTCGATTCCGCGGACTGAGACAGCTTTGTACTGTGCTGCCTTATTCCGAATTTGCTTGCGCAGATGCTTGCTGGGCCACGAGTTTGAAGTTGCACTTGCGCTCAACCGTTTCTACCCTGGTTTTTAGAGACGTCGGATGGAGTATGACGAAATATCACTGAATATGGGTGCAGGAAGTTACCAGAACCGCAGATGATGGCATGTCGCCAATCTGACCCAGTTTTCCAATTGGTGTCTGGTGATGAAAACGTTGATGAAGGGACTTGCAGCGACACGTGAGCCACACTCACTTGACCAGGATTGCGCAATGTGAACAAGCACCTTCCTTGCCTTTGGGGGTGCCCTTCCGACCAACCACCTTGTCTGCCGAAACTTCAAGGGCAAAACCTACATAGACCCTTAACCCGACGAACCATCTTCCGAGTCGCGGAGACCCTTGAGTTCCGCACCCCTCCAGGGTTTTCTAGAGACCTCAAGGACCTTCTATCTGTCTTCGCCTTTCCTCAGGGTGGGGCTTCCTAGGGGGCCACCGACTGAACAAACAAGGAGGGAGGCAGGGGGCGGGACGCCTGTTCATCCCAAGTTTACTTCTATATCCCCCTTGGGAATTATTTTTATATTTTTGTTCATATAAACCCCAAGAGGATATTAAGCATATTATTGTTTATGAAGGTTCTAAGGGGAGTATAGACTTGCCTAAATAGTGGAGCCTATCAGAGGGACTACGCCCCACGCCACAGGAGAAGTTGGCCTATGCTGAGGCGGACTTCGCCGAGGAGGGCTCAAGGGTCAGGGAAGCTAAGAGGGGTTTAGGGTTTAGGGTTTAGGGTTTAGGGTTTAGGGTTTAGGGTTTAGGGTTTAGGGTTTAGGGTTTAGGGTTTAGGGTTTAGGGTTTAGGGTTTAGGGTTTAGGGTTTAGGGTTGAGGGTTGAGGGTTGAGGGTTGAGGGTTGAGGGTTGAGGGTTGAGGGTTGAGGGTTGAGGGTTGAGGTTTGAGGGTTGAGGGTTGAGGGTTGAGGGTTGAGGGTTGAGGGTTGAGGGTTGAGGGTTGAGGGTTGAGGGTTGAGGGTTGAGGGTTGAGGGTTGAGGGTTGAGGGTTGAGGGCTCGGGGGGATTTGAGGGTCTTTGGGCCCGGGGGCTTGGGTTCACTTTGCGGGGTCGAAGCGTGTCGTAGCAAAGCCCCTTGAACCCTCAATCTTGCGCCCTGCTGGAACTCTACAGGTCCTAAACCCTAAACCCTATACTCTATACCCTATAAACCCTAAACCCTAAACAGGTCCTAAACTGTTAAGAGGCCAATGGTTGCAGTGACCGATCGTTCGGACGCCTTGCCGCGATGTCAAGACCTACGATGTGTAAATCTATATCCCCCCGTTGGGAATTATGTTTTGTTTATATAAAACTCAAGAGGATATTTAAGAATATTATTTTATTAAGGTTCTAAGGGGAGTATAGAAATCGGATGTCGACCACTCACCCATGAAATGGAGCCCAGGCCCTCGACCCTCTTTTTGGAGCTGTAAAAGGGTTTGGGGTTTATAATTTGGGGGGTATTTGGGGGGGGGGGGGGGGGGGTGTTTTGACAATGAGACGGAGGCTAAAACATGAAACATAGGGGTTGGAATATTTACCAAAAATGCTCCCTTATGGTCCCTATACAATCATACTGCGATGACCCCCAAGACCCTATCGTAGTGGTAAAGGCCCCTAGCCCTATAGTACACGTACGAGCCCCTGCTTCCTTCATTCGGGTTTGTGAAACAGCTTAACCCTATGGCTGGCTCTGTGTCCAGGAACCTGGCATTCTTTGGTACCTGAACCTGAAGCATTGAGCCGGGTTCAGGTTGAAGGTTTAGCTTAGGATTGTACGCAGCGGCGCGTAATCGTGGCTTCAGCATTCCCTGCTTCAGGCCTCAGCACAATCGAAGAAAGTGGCCGAGGACGCAGGGACGAGAGGCTTTGATATGGTTTCATCTTCTTGTTCAGGTCAAGAAGGATCCGCACCCCGCATTGCCACAAAATGACTTTTCCAATTTTGTACCTGCCCATGGGTTCTTCGAGCTCATGCAGACATTCTTTTCTTTGCGAAGGTAAAGTGCCGCTGTGGGATTGGTCTGGTGCAATCTGGCAGTAGCAATGTGGGAAATGTGGGAAGCAGACGGGACTGCTGTGTCTGACATATCAGGGCTTCACGTCTCACACGGTGCACATTCCTCTCAACGCAAACCTTAGCACTTTTGACAGTCTCAACACCAACAGAGGTCTCTGGACTTGTCCCTTGCGGCCAGAACATGAGGCACTGAAGTCCGAACTCGCCCTCAACTCTTCGAAATCTCAAGCAAGCATAGCAGCATAGTATATACATGTTCTTCGCAATGTACACACTTGAGATTCATTGCCCTAAGCCGCCGGTCCTACTGTAACCTTTTGTATCTAGCAACCTGGTTCATACCTTGGACCCCTAAGGTTCTACCCTTGGGTTTGGGGACATCTGAGGAGTCTATTAAGGGAACCTCTCTTGTGTGCGTTACGTCCTTAGGGGTTTCGAGCCGCGGAAGGAGCAGCTGAGCCGAAATCGCCGCTCGCTGCTCTCTGCCCTGCATGGCTTGGCCCAGGCGAGCTCCCCAGGTTGTAGTGGGGAGGTGTGTGTAGTCGTAACTCTTGCAAAGTGTGTAAAGCCCTAAACGCAGAGCTCGAGTTCTGATTCGGGGGGTGGGGGGTGGGGGGGGGGGCGGGGGGGGAGGAGCCCGGCACCGCAGTTGACCCGGACCACAGGCAACATGCAGAGGTTTAGGCATGTTCAGGGTCTAGGGTCTAGGGTTTAGGGTTTAGGGTTCAGGGTTCAGGGTTCAGGGTTCAGGGTCCAGGGTTCAGGGTTCATTGTTTAGGGTTTAGGGTTTAGGGTTTAGGGTTCGACTTTGAGGCCTGGTGTTTACAAGAAAGGTGTGTGTAAACGGGGCTCTTTGGGAGCTACCTCCTTTGAGAGGCGCTTCATGGGTTGCACAAGGCAAGGAGCGTCACGGCTTCGCTGAAGATCTAGG